CTCCCATGAGCCTGGTGTCACAGGTTGTCCTAAGGGACTGTGACATGCTAAGAAAACACATTTATTCTCATACCTACTGGTGAAAATCCTTCCACAAGGCAGGCCTTAGAAACTAGAATTCCTCTTCTTCAAAGAAGGTCATAGAAACTAATCTTCGTCCACCTTTTGTCTTAACGCTTTCCATAAAATCTCTGGTGACAAGACCCCTATTTCAGAAGAATTCTTTTCCATGGCTATGAGAGAGGAGAGGCCAAGACAATTAGAACTGAGAGGCCCACCGAGTTTTCCTACTCTATTAGCATTAGATCATATACTTTCTATCCGTTTACAGTTCAGTGCAATCGTCCACGCAGAGATCACGCCTATGAATGAAGTCTCCACAAAAACTCAGGAATATGTCAATGTGCTTCCCCTAGTTCTGTGGTCTGCTTGTGCAAACCACAGGAACAGAAAGTAGAGGCTGCCAGGAAGGAGCCCAAGTGAGAAGAGCCTCAGGCTTGTAGCTGGCATTGAAGGCTGTGCAGGGACCAGAGTAGTGTTGAGAAACGAGCCACAACCTGTCGGATTTGGCACTGTCCAGGTCAGAGAGAACTGAAGTGGATTAAAGGAAGTTCAGCTGGTGTCTTCCACCTTACAAATGAGATCTGGCTTGCTGTTACAAAGGAATCCCCACAGCATTTGGTACTATAGGAGTGAACTTTGTTGTGAATGCATAATGACAGTCTCAGAGTAGATTGTCTTTCTATATCGTTTGAGGGATCAAAAATCTTTTTGCTGCCAACTGTCGCTTCTGTGCAGAGGCCTTCCACTTCGAGTCAGCTCAACCTTGGGTAAGAACTACTGGGGAAAACATTGCACTGAGTAATGGCTGATACATTGTGTCAATCTGAGAGGTTCAGAAGCTGAACTAAGTAACTTAGCAGTGCATTTCCACAACCTGGGGTGTAGAGGACTTGCCCTTACAACTGTAGGATGTTGCTCATTGGGTCAACTTAAGAAGTTTAGAAGTTTAACTAAGTGACTCAGTGGGGGACCAGGGTCCTTACTTTGTAAATATCTTTATCTGTGCAAGAGGAGGTCTTTGAGATAGTGTGAGTTCCACACCACAGGAAGACAGGAGGGCTGGTGGCCTGCTTACAACATAAGGGAGGAAAAGAGGTTTGCTGTGCCCTCCTTTTGCTCCTGCTGCTTTTGCTGTCTTCTGCAACCTTGACCTGTTGCTTGTGCCAACCTGCCTTGGAGCCAGCTGACGATGGACTGAAACCTCCACAAACTGTGAGCTAAATAAGCCTTTCCTTCCTTCATTCTGAGTGTCAGGTACTTTGTCTCAGCAATGAGACAAAAATAAAGTTCATTGTACCTAATATATATTAGGTACTCAGGCCTGTAATGGTTACATTTTTACTAAATCATGCAGACTTCTTTCTCTTGCCTACAAAATAACAATTCTTTACATACTTTGTATTTGGTGTTACAAGTAATTTTATAGGTAAAGTGTGCAGGAGGCTATACTTAGGGAAAATGCAAATACTATGCCCACTTATAAAAGGGTCTCCAGCACCCAGAGGGGTCCTGGAACTAATCTCAAAATCATAGATACTCAAGGATGCCTAAGTATCTACATAACCCTTTCTTCTGGGAAGGCTGGGCTTCCAATCTTCATAGCCCTGGGAGAGATGTTTCTTTACCCCTTGGGGAAAGGATGTGTCTGTCTGCAATATGTGAGTCCTAGATACTTCTCCAGGAGAAGAGCTCTTAGAATGTCACAAGTGACTGAGTCTGAGGAAGCCTGCTGTAAATAATTGGCTCCTGGTTTCCTACTGCTCCTTTAAGTTAAGTGCAGCTTCCACTTTGGCTAAAAGGCTATTGGTTCATTCAAAATGAACAGAAGATCCAAATTAATCCTAAATCCTGGGAAGGTAGATGAAAGGAGAGAAACATTTTCCAAAGACCATTTCACCACCAACCCCAGACAGAAAGGAAGACAAATTTGTGCTTCCGAGTTTTTTTCTCTTCCTACCCATCCACCTGGGCCTTCAGTTTCTAAATACACCAAATAGGATCATTCTTAAGCCTATTTTATAGCAAGTCAAGTTCTATAGTATACATAATTTTATTAGGAAAAAGTTGATGTTTAAATTCGACACTGCTTTAAAAAATAAAGAAAAAAGGACAGTGAACTATCATGTGTTGAATTCCTGTTATGATTCATCACAGGTTGGAACTGTATGTTATCTCATCTAATTCGTGACAGTTAATTAACATAGTGACACTGTGTAATGCACTGTGCATCACCAGATACCGTCCACTACGTGCCTTCGCTGTTTTAGAGACCCTGCAGGGACTACCCAGTGTGTGATTCCAGGACAAAGTGGAGCTAGCAGGAAAGAGACCCCAGCAACCTATTCAAAGCAAACAAAAAGTTGGATGTGGTGGTGCATGCCTGTAACACCAACACTTGGGAGGCTGAAGTAGGAGGATTGCCATGAGTTTGAGGCCACCCTAGGCTATGCAGTGGGTTCAAGGCCAGCCTGAACTACGTAATGAGACCCTGTCTCAAACACAAAAACAAAAACAACCAAACAAAAAAGTATCATAATGGCAGATGAACAGAAGTCTGTTGGAGCATGCCTTTTCAAATTTAAATTTCTTTAATGTGTAGAACAATTAAAAGCCTGGGCTTATCACAAAAACGTGTTAAGAGATTGCTGCAATGGATTCCAATTTTTAATTTTTACTTATTTATATATTTTTTAAGACAAGGCTTCACTATATAAGTTCAGAGTAGCCTTGAACTCAATATGTTTCCTAGGCTGGCTTTGAACTCACGACTATCCTCCTGCCTCAGCCTCCCCAACTCTGAGATGACAGGCATATACAACCTCCCCCAGGAGATTCCAATATTTTGATACAATCAACTTAGTAAAAATAGGCAGATATTTAACAAGTAATGTAAGTTTCTCTTCCTCTTTCTTCTTTTTGTTTGTTCCCTAAGGGAATTTTGGGAAGGCTTAGTTTTTTTGTTTTTTCTGTAAGAAAACATGCCCTTTTTTTCTATAATTTAAATATTTCAAAGAGACTTATTTCCTACAAAAAGATTTACAACATACGGTAAACAAAAATACTCAGTAACAAAATGACCCTATTTATCTATCTACTTCAGTTTCCTCTTCGTGTCTATTTTCTATTCCCCACAAATAAATGTTTCCTTTTTCCTGGTTTCAGTGTTTTGTCTGAAGTCACTGCCTGGCAAACCCTGGCTTCCTCTAGAACTGAGGAGAGCCATGCTGGGGCCTCAGACCGCCCAAGCTCATTTCACAGGAAGTCTGTGTATCCTCTTCCACAGGCAAATTTAAGTCTCCAAACTGTGGAGGGGAGAAACGCTGCCCCAAAGCAATCTGTGTGTCAGGGAGCAATTAGATCGCACATTAAGAAGCCTCAGCAAACAGGATGTTCCACCCCTAATGTACAGCCTCTTGGGCACTGGACCCCTCCCAGGCAGCCGAGACTCCTCAGGACTCCCTGGCCTCCTGAACCCCAGCCACCGAAGGACACAGGCGAGCCACCCACTCACCCACACTTCCCAGGTGAATACAAGGATCAGTGTCTTTTGTTACTGTGTGCAGCTTTTGGATTATTAATTTCAGAATGGGAAATCATGCTTAATTTAAAGAGGAAATCTTTGGACAAGAGTCTGTAGCTATAAATCAATAGCAAAGATTTTCTCTGAGTTACGATGTTTTCACCTGACTCTGAAATTGGATTTTCCTCCCTTTTTTGTTTTTGAGCTTTTGAATTTGACTGAGCACACTGCCAGGTTCCCATGGTGAATTGATAATGAAATCAGAAGAGACAGGGTCCATTGACTCGGAAGACCTGTGCCATTAGTAACGTCTTTCCCGTTTCTCCAACTGGCTTGACACCCACTTAGTCACCTCGGTTTGGACATTTCCTCGGACACTTGCACTTAGGAGAGCAGAGCTCAGCATGGAGATGAGGGGGCAGCAAGGCAAACAGGCGCTATCAAAAGGAAAGACAGGGAAAAATCAATATTTCCATTAGCATCCAGAAGCTGCATTTTCAGAAAACATTTATTTGTTTAGCTGACAGGATTGGACCGAGAAGGGTTCCTTTAAGGATCTCAAATTCGGTGAGTATCAGTATGATGTTAATAATTTTTCTCCCCATTTTGCTCAAAAATTGCCAACAGAATTTAAAGCTAAGAACAAACAGAAATTCTGCAAAGCCAAAATACTTAAAGGGTACATTTTTTTCAAGACAGAGTCATTGTAAAAGTCTAGTAATATATATTAAAATTATTAGTAGTGGGGCTAAGGGATTTAGCTCCAGAGCACAGGTGCCTGCCTTGCAAGCAAGTGGTCGTGAGTTCGATCCCCCCCATACCAATTTAAAAAAAATAGTAATAATAAAATAAAATTATTAGTAGTAATGTACAACAAAATAGCTATTCTCCGCCGATTATGATGGCACATGCCTGTAATTACAGCACTTGGTAGGCTGAGGCAAGAGGATCACTCTGATTTCGAGGCCAGCTTGGGCTACAAAGTGAGTTCAAAACTAGCCTGAACTGCATAGCAAGACTGTCTCAAAAAAAAAAAAAAAAAATTCAAATGAACAAACAAATAAGCTATTCTCTTTGATTGTCCTGGGCACTGGTTTGTGCGTGTCTGTAAATATCCTTTATAAGGTCGTTACTTTTGTAACACTGGACTCCATTGGATTAAAATTTCGTGGATTAGTTTTGCTCTGTTTTTGCTACTTTTACTCTCATTCTCAAATCTAGGTTTAAACCCGAGTTCTAGGACATCCAGGAGCCAACTTTCATCTTGCTGAGTTTCCCGTGTGTGACAGTGACTTTGGGAGGTGCACACTGCTCAGCACCGTGCCCAGTGTGCAGTGCTGTGTTCCTACAAGTGTGCGCGCACACACACAAACACACACACACACACACACACACACACACATGCTTCCCTCTGCCGGCTGCGTCTTGCTCTCCTTTCTATCACATCAGTGATATCTGGGGCCCTACCCAGCCACTAGAGAAGCATCGCTGGGCCCTGGACCCTCAAGGCTGACGCATCCACGGGATCTGGCTGAGAGCGAAACAGGGGAACGAAATTCCTGACGGTACGAGTTCGTGTTCTCTAAAAGTGAAGAATGAATTTCAGGAACAATGGAGGTTAACAGCAGAAATATTTATTGAGAAAAAGAAAGCTTCTGTCTGAGAGAGACAGAAGGGGTCCCCGGTGGGTTGCCAAGGACTCTGTCTTTTCTAGGAACTTTCATAGAGTAAACCGAGGAGGTGAGACAGGTTCAAGGTGGGGAAAACTGGGAACTGGCAGGGCAGATGGGCATGAGGTGGGACAGAACTATGATCAGCCAATCAGATTAATTATTCAGATGAAACTGACCAAATCAGGGACAAATGGAGAAGTGAATCACAAGCAAGCGAGCATTCTTAGATCAGTGACTCTTCCTGTAGAGGGCTGGGATGGTGACTCCTGGCTTCTCAAAGTGATCCATACCTAATCCCTAAGAATTATACTTAAGAGTGTGGTTGCATTTGCTTTACCTTTTGTCCTGAGATCTGGCCAAACAGCTAGAGGTGTGTGTCTCCTCCAAGGTCACCAGACTTTTAGTCCTCTTCTGGCTTCCTCAAGAGTTATGCCCTGCCTATAATATTTCTAAATAGCTCAGCTGCCTGTAACAAGAGAACCCGGGAACCCCGCACCAGGGGAAGGCCTGGCATTTCTCCCAAGACTGCCCCTGCACTGGGGCATGACAGTCACCAGAGCACAACCACCGGGCAGGACAGAGACCCCGCCTGCCTCTGAGGACAAGGTCCTGACTCAATGATTGAGACAGGAGGCGTGGCAGCCTGGACCGTAAAGGACACACTTACTCCAAACTGGATTCTGATGGCTGAAGAGGAGCACATTTAGTGCAAGTAAGCCCTGAGAACCTTGGGACAGAAGGAGAGCTTCGTAAAACCCGCAGGAACAGAAGCCAGCCAGGCAGAGCTGTGCCTGACTTGTGTGAGAGATTATAAAAGGGCAAATTTCCAAGCTCAAAGAAAATATGTTTGCTCTCAGGACCAGAGGCCTTTCTGAAACAATATATAGATAGATCCAGAAGGAGGAAATTAAATCCCAACCGTATAACAAAAACTAGCCTATTGTAGATGTCGGGGGAACTCTTCTTGGAGTACAGATATTTTTGTTTTGTTTCTGTTTTGAGGCAAGGTCTCACTATGTGGTTCAGGCTGGCCTTGAACTCACAGCTGTTCTCCTTTTTCAGCCTCCTGAGTACTAGGATTACAGGTGTGCACTGCCCACCGAGCGCACATTTTAAAAGCATGTTTAAAACATCAAACTGGTAACCAAAAACAAGCAATGCGATAGCTCAAATGAAGAAGATTGATGCCATAAAGAATAACGTCAAAAAGTAAACTCAATTTTGTTGAATAAAGGAAGGTAATAGATGAATTTTACAGTGCATAAAGAGGAGAGCAAGGAGCTGCTGGGGACATTTTAAAGAGATGCTAATGTAGCCTCGAAGAGAAAAAGGAGATATAAATTCACTTGGGCCTGCTTTGCTCCTGTCTTTCCCCCCAGCAGCAGCCTGCAAACTGAAGACAGAAGGTGCGCCCTGAGGATGCAGCCCTGTGGATGCCGCCTACTGCGGTCCTGGCTTCTGCAGGGTCTAAAGCCTGCAGAGGGCGAGCTGGAAGCTGAACGCCCGAGCATGCGCACAGATGCTCTACCAAAGGATGAAGCAGGATTGGGCGCGGCAGTGCAGGGCGTGCAGAGAACAGGTGAGGGGAGGAAGGGGCTGAGAAGGCACGGCTGACCGAACAAATCACCACCAAGACTCTATCAAGGCTCTGGATGTGCTATCGGAGGTGAGCGTGGAGAAAACAAGGATTCCATGCTTCTAGCAGAAGGCAAACTGGATCAGGGTAGTGGAGAAGGAAAGAAAAGCAACCGTGGGCCCAGTCATGAAAACAGGAAGCCAGAGTAGGTTTAAAATATAGTGAGAAGCAGGGTGGTGCACTCCTGCAATCCCAGCGTTTGGGAGGCCGAGGCAGGAGGGTCACTGCAAGTCGGAGGCCAGCCTGGACTTCAGAGTAAATTCAGACCCAGCGTGAACTACATAGCGAGACCCTGTTTTAAAAAACAAAACAAACAAAAAAGTCATGGTGAGAAGGTGTGCCTGCCAGTCACATGCCCCTCCCATGGGGAGAGCTACTGTGACGGAGTGTAGCGCTCAACCCTGAAGGAATTCACTTTACATTTCTGTCTGTTTTGTGTAGGATTAACTAGGTAAGAATAAAACTGTTGTGAATGAGCAGTGTCATTCCTCCTCCCCCTGTTTAAAGCAAGATATCTGGCTCATTAATTATGTAAAGGTACGATGCTAAATCTGGTAAAGGAAACTTACGATACTATAAGAATTTAAAATAATGGGTAGTTTTTGAGGTCCAAATGGGAATTACATGGCCTCTGAGAAAAAATTCATTCAATTCTAAAATAAACTGGCATCAATTGCAAGATTGGAGGTTCCTAATGCAAGTACAGGGATTGGGAGCTGTTAGAGTTTTCTGATTCAGTTGAGAAGAGAAAAGTCCAAAAAAGAAAACAGGTTTTTGAGGACGTGGAAAAGAGCACACAACCCAGGCAGCTGGGCTGTCTCCTTCGACCAGATACAGAGAGGCAGAGGGTTTTAGGACCTGATCAGAAGTGGCGCATGGGGTGGATGGTGATGACGTGTGAGGAACCCACTGAAATTCTGTGTGTGTGCAAACAGGAAGGGGAGATGCCAAGTTAGGGCTGAAGAGGAAGCAGGAAGCGGCAGGCGTTACCGCTTTGGCCTTCTGCCCTGTTAGACCACCGCCATAGCTGTGCAGTAATTTGTACTAGGGCAAGAAGCTTTCAGAACCCTGGGCTGGCTGTGAATTACACTACCTCCTATGTATGATATCATATCAGGGACCGGGCCAGGATCCTCAACCGCCACTATGAAAGGTACAGCAAGGCACAAAGAAGAAACAGAGACAAATTTAGTAATGCATAATGTCAGGCTGGGAGGTCAGTGCCTCAGGATGGGCAAAGCCCCAGATACTCCAAACCAGCCTTGTTTATTGGGTGTGTACAGTGCAATGGGTGTATTCAGCGATAGGAGGGGCTACTGCAAGGTTCCGGGTCAGCGGAGGATTCAGAGGTTAATGACACCGCAGGCAACAGGTGACTCAAGAGGGTGGAGATGATCTTATTCGAAGAAGGATCTTACTCCGGAGTGTTTTCACTTTAGTAGTTTTAGTTTAGTCTCAGTGGGCGGGAGAGGATGCCCATCCCAAGAGTTAATGGGAAGTGGTACAAGGGTGGTAACCTCCATTTATTACTTAGGGAAGTATGCATTAGTCATCATCAATTCATGGTCCCGAATAATACCACTCATCATAATGATGCATATTACACAGGATCATTTGGAGGGTTAAGTTAAATATTTTTCAAGTGTCTGGATCATGCAGCCCCTCAATATATGCTCACTGTTATTATTATTCAGTGAATGGAAGTTGTAATAAACACTCTGGAAGGCGGAGGCTGGAGGAACACAAGCTCAAAGCCATTCTGGGCAACTCAAGACCTAGTCTCAAAAAGTTTTTTAAAAGGTAAGGGACATAATTCAGTGTACAGGCCCTGGATATAATCCCTAATACCGAAGGGGAAAAAGTGTGAAAAAACAAATACATGTCCATTGTTATACAAAACTATGTTTTAGCAACTTAAGTTATTGAATAAAGTAATCGTAATTACATTTTTAAGCTACCTGAAATATTCACTAGGGCTTAAGTGATACTTAAAAAGGAGGGGCCAGAAATACAGCTCGGCCGCACAAGTACCTGCCTGACAAGCGCAAGATCATGAGTTCAATCCCCAATACAAAAAACAAACAAAACAAAACAGGAAGAAGGAACTGCCTCCTGAATGAAATACTTACATGAGTTAGATGAGTCCATGATTGCATACGTAAGAATCGGTGTTCAACAAGAGGTATGCTGCTAGTGGTGCAGGCAGCTGAGCTAGTTAGAATACGATAGGCAGTCAGACAGGGAGAAGCCGGCACAGAGGACCAGATGTCTGATGACCTTGGAGGAGACACACATGTCTTGCTGTTGGCCAGATCTCAAAACAGAAGGCAAAATAAATGCAACCACACGGTTTAAGTATAATTCTTAGGGATTAGGTATGGCTCACCTTGAGAAGCCAGGAGTCACCATCCCAGCCCCCTACAGGAAGTCACTGAACCATAAGAATCTCGCTTGCTATGTGACTCGCTTCCCCACTTGTCTCTGATTTGGTCAATGTTGCCTGAGCCATTAAACTTACTGGTTGACCATAGCTCTGTCCCATCTCATGCCCATCTGACTGCGAGTTCCCAGTGGTTCCCAGTTTAGACCCATCTCGCCTCATGGTTTTTCTCTATAAAAATCCCAAGGAAAGACAGAATCTTTGGCAACCCACTCGGGACCCCTTCTGTCTCTCCCATACAGAAGCTTTCTTTCTCTCAATAAATATTTCTGCTGTTAACCTCTGTTGTTACTAAAATTCTTCCTTTGATTTTAGAGAACATGAACCTGTACCAGACATAGAGTAGGTCGGCAGTTTCGTTCCCCTATATCACTAGTAGCAGATTATTTGTTAAATGCTCTGTAGAACTTTCCATATAAGAGAAAATATGTATTTTATAGTCACAAGACCATAGGTCTTCACTGGGACACAGCAGCAAAGCTCAAGTCTGAGTTCAGTCCTAGCGAAAGCTATGTGCTCAGTCTGTAAGTTGGAAACGGAAACACAAAATTCATGCTAAGCCCTCATTCCAAAATGTGCGATGAGGGAATTTTAATTTAAAATTGTCACAATCATTTCTTCAGCATTTCTTTGTCATTAATGAACTAATTGTGCTTTAATCAAGTCAGCAATTATCAATAAAAATCGATTTGGAAATACACATTTTTTTTTTCTTTGAGGGTTTTCCTCAAAATGCATGGTCTCAGTGAGAATACTGCTCATCTGTGAATGATGTGAGGTCTCCCAATGCAGAACAGAATCCAACGACTTGTAGGAGGGAGCATTGGCCCATTTTACTACTAATTCAGCCAGGCTGATTGGCTCAGTGTTTAAAGAGTAACAGCAACTACATTAAACACCAGAATGGTCAGTGGAATTAATGCAATTAAAGTAATTAGTCCTGGCAGCTGTAAGGTCAAATAGAGGTAGCTCTGTAACAGCAATCTGCCACTGCAAAATTACTGACATTTCCAACTAAATTATATTCTCTAAATTGTTGTCTTAATGTTAAATAAATAAAGTTATGCTAATATGGGGACTGATTACAGATTGAAATTAGCACAATAGCTTGTTATACAGTCTGCTAGGGTTAACATTTTTAAAAAACATAATTAATGGCCTTTGCTTACTGTCTCTGGTTATAGATCCTGCGGCTCATTTGCATTCTTTTGCAATCTGCTGACAGTGCTAAACATCTAGGAGAAAGATCTGATCAGCAGGCAGAAAAAGCACTCTTCCGTCATCCAGTTAGAACCTGTTATGGTTTTAGGACAGCGTTAATAGCAAAGAGGACCAGAAAGGGGACAGAGGAGGAGAACAAGGGCAGAATCCGTTTCTTTTTTCAGTTTGTGATCCAGGTCTTTTCTGGAGTCAATGTGAAATGTAATTGCTCCTTTGACCTCTATTTCTCTCTCCCCGGGTCTGAGGAAGAGCTCCCCTGGTTGATGATTGCAAGAATGAAAGACACACTGACCTCATGGACCAGACGCCTGGATGCCTTCCGCGCTGCCCACAGTGCTGCAGACTGGCCCCTCCTGGAGGGAGGGATCTCCAGGCGCCCTGCCAGGAAGGACGTGAGCAGCAGCGGTTGAGACCTGGCCAGACAGCCCAGGCAGCCGGGGAGACAGGAGGGGAACAGAGAATATCAAACATGGTTAGCACTCAGCCCACAGGCTCGCAGGCATCTGTGTTGCCCAGGACATTGCCTGGACCATCAGATGGGCACCTGCTGAGTAAGGAAGAGGTCACCAATTCCACACAGCCAGTGGCTTACCAAAGTCCCTAGACTCCTGTCACAGGTGTATGGGAATATTTCCAGGAGCTAGAAAGGGAGATTGACTTTCTAGCAGAAAATAGGCATCAGCAATTGCTCTGGATCCTAAATGGGTCCCCATTTAGGAAATGGGGAAATTTTGGATTATTTTTAGAATTCGTGGCTGACACAGGAATAAGGCTAGGACTCCCCAGGAAAACAACACGCCCCGCCCCGGCTCCATGGTCAGGGCCTTTGTTTCAGATCAGCTGCGGCTGTTTTGCATAAGTGCTAATTCTGCTCTCATCAGTTCTATTCAGGAAAATGTCCTGGAGCATTTATGATGCACTGAAGCCCTGTAGGCAGGGACGCAGTGACATATGAAGTGTGTGCTTGGCCTCCTGAGACTGCTGAATGACCAAACAGGGGTGGTGCCAACCTGGTCCTCCCGCTCTGTCCAGAAGGAAGAGAGTGAGCCGAGGCCTACAGTGTGGGAGGCTGGGTGCTGGTTTCTTTACATTCAGACTTTTATTTACCTCTGACAGTAATTTTCAGGTCTGAACTGTGAGCTCCACTTTCTGAAGAGTAAATTTACTGTGGCAGTCTAGCCTTCAGACTCTGGGATTCATTAGGCTTGAGTTTATGCTTACTTTTCTCCAGGTTCTGCTGCTATCACAGAATAGTTCAGTCTGAGTAATTAATAAAGAAGAGAGGTTTGTTTTGCTCACCGCTCCAGAAGCTGAAAACACGGGAGGCCCAGGTGTGCCCAGCTTCTCATGCGGCCAGCCAGGCACACTGTGGAGCCAGGAGAAAGGGCCAAGACTCCATGATGGGCAGTTTCCCACTGGAGCAGGGAGTGTGTGTGTGTGTGTGTATCTGTGTGTGTGTTTGTAGTGGAGTGGCTTTGACTGGACTCAGAACATACTACCTCAGAACCCAGCACTGTGGCCAACAGAAGGGATCTCAGAGATCCGCAGGCACAAGAATATCTCTCAGAACTACCTACGCATTTTTCCCTGAACCATGTCATAAACCCCAGGAAAGTATTTTTGACTTTGTACTAAAGCAAATCATGAACAATGCAGACGAGGCAGACCCACCCTGCCCTGGAGGAAGGGAGACCCTTACACCTGAGGAGCTGGGAACATCAATAACAATCCCAGTGAACCAAATTCCTCCCAATCGATTACCATGGCAACATACCCTTTGTCCTTGGATCATCTACATCCTCAAGCCTAAGTAAGGATATACATAAACGTACCTGTTTCTTTGGGTCTCCATTTTCTTACGAATCTTCACATGCCTCAAAAAAAAAAAAATACACACACACATATATATATATATATATGTATTATATATATTATTATGTATATATTATTATATGTATTATATATATATATATATATATGTGTGTGTGTGTGTGTGTGTGTGTGTGTGTGTGTGTGTATTGAGATAGGGTCTTGCTATACTTCAGACTACCTTGAACTCACTATGTAAACCAGGCTGGCCTTGAACTGTCAGAGATCCTCCTGCCTCAGCCTACTGAGTGCTGGAATTACAGGTGTGTGTTTGGCAGGCTTTTCTTTCCTTAGTCTCTTTTATTATAGGGATCTCAAAGGTGAACCAACCAAAGGAGAAGAAAAGGGTTTTTCTTCCCCCATCTAGGGATAGCTCTCACATTCAACCGCATCAGTTCAAAACAGAAAGCAATGTTATCTTGACGAAATGCTTTTGGAACTATGGAAGCAAAAAAGGAAGGAGAGCTGGGTGCTTTCTGACCTGACACAGTGCAGATGGCCAGCAAGCCCTGTGGGTGGTGAATCGCTGTGTTTGGACAAGTCCAAAAGGTTAAACCAACTAAAGCTGTGAAACAATTGAAAGAATGTATCTTGAGCCTGTGTGAAGTCGAGGTGTCCACTAAATTGTTTGGTCCAGCAGAACAGGGCTTTCTTTTCCTTGTTTTATCTGAAGTGATAAAGAAAAACAAATCAGTATCCAGTTCTTCTCTGTGTTTTTAAAGAGCTTTTGGTAACTTGATACAATGTTAAAAAGAATGGGGGGGGGAGTCAATGAAACTCACATAATCTTCATTTTAATACTACACTTAAGGGGGTTAAGAACATGCTACCCCCAAATGCAGTACCCCAAATACTGAATGTTTTAAACCAAAGGAACTTGAGAAAATGGTGCAGTCCAAAAGTTCTTTCCAAACTTGATTCACTCTCCTCTGAACCAGGTCATGAAACCGGGAAAGAACTTTCGGGGCTACCCCAAAGGGGGTCAGACAACCTGCCTAAGTGCCCCCATCCTGTCCCCAGGGGAAAGAGCATCTTTATCCCTGGAGACACTGGCAGAGAAAAGAATCTGCCCAAACAGGTCTCACCAAGTTCTCCCAGTTTATTGCCATCAGATCCAGGACAGCTCTTCACTTCTTTACTAAACCTCTATAAACAACACCCATGGTTACCCATCTCTTTGGGGCTCCATTTTCTCAGGAAGGCATCCACAGTCTGTAAAACCTACAAGAAATAAAACATATGCTTTTCCCTTATTTGTTTGTCTTTTGTTATAGAGGCCTCAGGCACAAACCCAGAGATAAACGAGGACAAGATATATTTTTCTTCGCTACAGCACATTATTTACAAAGAAACTTCAGAGGTATTATTATTCTCATCTTTCCTCGAAGCTGGGAGATGTACAAAATGTACCAAAATTGCATTCCAAGTGTCATGTTTTAAATAGCACTGTACACACACCTTCCAAGTTTGCAAAGCCCATTCAGTATTTTAAACAAAGCAAGTAGCAAGCATGAGCTAAGTGCACACCACTAAATATAGCAACATGATTACTGTCACGCGATTTCCTCTTGATAGTGTAGGAACACTTGGGCAGAAGATTTGTCCTGACACAGTTGCGGTGAGTCCAAAAGGTCATTTTGATTCCAAGTGTTCCTAACGCCCAGCCTCTGCCCTGCTCCGGGAGTGAGTGAGGGCGCCTCCTTTCACTTCATTTGCATTTGGTGACTTTTCTGGGGTGTCTTGGTTTACTAGTGAGGTCATTCTTCCTTGTATGATCAGATAAGATGAGAATAGAATTAGCAATGGTGAACGGTGGCACAGGGGCAAGAAAGCAAAGTCCTTTTCTTACCTGACCTGGGTGGATCTGAACTTCAAACATCTCTCTCTCTCTCTCTCTCTCTCTCTCTCTCTCTCTCTCTCTCTCTGTCTGTCTCCGCCTTTCTCTATCTCTGTTTCTCTCTCTACCCAGTTAGTGATAATAGAGCCATTTCCCAAAGTTGGATTAGGACATTGCCAATTCACTTCTATAAACTCTTTTTCAAAATGAGATGAAGGGATGGGCTGCGCTATGCTGACCAGCCATTGTTCCGTACCTGTTCATGTGTGTTTGTCAGCTAATAAATCCAGTGCAGTTATTTCAGAGGCCACTCAGTCAACATGAGCTGTCATACACACGCCGTGGGAATAATAAACCCAGGGGCTTTGTCTCTTAAACTGTGAATAGGGTTAGAGAGCTGGAATTCAAAGAAATATTTCACTTGACAGAATAATAATTAGTTCAGGAGTGGGGGTGGCATCTTATTTTGTGCCATCTTGAGGTGAATGTACCAAACTCACAGAGGACAGAGATTTAATACTCCCTAGCACAGGTCGAGGACCAGAACTAACAAGGGGGCTGGAGTGGAGGGAACAGCACTGGATGACTGTCACCAGCTTGGGGCCAAGAGGTGAAACTGTTTCCTCCCAGGAGATTCATTGACTGAGTCTGCTGAAATAAACTGACTGTAAACAGGTGAGCAGGGCATGGTGGTGGTGACGACTGTAAGCCCAGCTCTTTTGGAGGCTGAAGCAGGAAGCTTACAGGTCAAGCCTATCTTGTGTAATTTAATGAGACCTGTTTCTAAAAAAATTTTAAAATTTGGGAAGAAAAGACATATAAATATATGATGTGCTCAGTGGCTTCCCATGAATGAAGAATGACTACCCCATAACACAAGGACGGTTTAGAAGCTTCTCACCCTCCTTGTAAGGGAGAGTCAAATGGAAAGGGCAGGTGATTTTACAGGGATGGTAAATGATTTCCTGGGTAGACAGGTGGATCAGGGGATGGACAGTAGCCAGAGAGCCAGGTTTTTGGTTTCCGGTGTGATGTCAGCTCTAGTCTCCATCCTGGGGTGTGTGTCAAGGCTCTCTGCAGAAGCGAGTAGCCTCCACACAGCTGAGAAGCCTCCACCAACCTCTCCCAGACTGGGACTTCGGAGGAAATCCTCCCCTGCATTCCTGCTCTTGGGGACCGCTCCCTCTGAAGTCCTAAGAAGTGTGTCTTCAGGTAACATTTTCTGAGCCCCCCAACAAGGGTCCCTAGCATGCAAACTGGACCATTACCCTGGCCCCCTTTCCCTTTTCCATAAGCTTCCATAGTCCCCAGAACAGGAAAATAGTGCTTACAGGGAAAATGTGAGAAACAACAGTGTGATCCACATTCCATGCAACATGATGCAGATGGCAAGTGTGAATTCCCTCATTTAATGAAAAGGATACAGGACGATAAGCTGAAGATAAGCCTCATTTGCTCTGATTTCACTGGGAAACATTGTGACAGCTGG